AGGTGGTACCTGGAAGTCGCTGAGAAGCTGTGCCTATGTGGCTCTTACATTTACTATCTTTTTTTAAAAAAAAAAATTGTGCTTTCCAGAAAACCTGCTACTGAGGCGTCATTGGGAAGAGAGGCGGGTTTTAGCAAGTGAACAGATAGGTGGGAAAAAATTTAAAAGAGGAAGATAGTGACAGATTCAAACAAAACGAGCCGGCTATAAGCAGCATCTCAACCCGCCAATTCAAAACAGGTGTTGTTTTTAACTTCCTATTCCTTCGAAGCCCTCACTGCCAGAACACATTTTGTACGCGCTTTGTTTGACATCATCAAATATTCGCTTTCATATGTTTCATATGAAAGATTGGTGAATTATTGAAGAGATCTTTGTGGGGTTTCTATCTTTCAACCTGGTGATATAAGTAACAGCAACACAAATTGATGCATTCCTCCGATATCAACCTATGTGGGGGGTTTTTTTGGCTAAGTATTTTTAAAATGAACCTTTTGAATTCAGGAAGCTTCCCCAGAATTCTGCCTTGCTGTTGCCTGGGAAGGCAGTTTTTGGCTCTCGCCTTATTCGCACCTGCACCCCAGTGGGGAAATGTAAAATTTGTTACTACCGGTTCTGTGGGCGTGGCTTGGAGGGGGGGTAATGTAACTGGGTGGGCGTGGCCAACTTTTTTTTTTAACTTTTAAAAGCATTTTTTCTACAACCTCGAGGTTGTAGAAAAAATGCTTTTAAAAGTTAAAAAAAAAAAGCCTCTGATGATCACGCGGCTCAGCTGGGCATGGTGGGGGGTGCAGGGATTTTTGCTACCGGTTCTCCGAACCACCCACCACCATCGCTATCGGATCGGGCGAACCGGTCTGAACCAGAAGCTTTTCACCCCTGCTGCACCCCCATTTCTGCCATTGGCAAAGGGGTGCATGAAGGATAGCCTTACTACTAGAAAGGAAGCAGCTACTCTGCCCTGTTTGCTGAAAAACGAACCCTTGCACAATCCTGGTGGGAATCCTTTGGTTCTCCTCCATGGAGGACAGGCTGGCAAAGCAACTTGATTGCCTTGATTGTGAGCCCTCCAGCTTTGGGGGCGGGTGGGCGGGTGTGGGGGGGGGCGAGTTTCATTCCATGGGAACCAGCTTGCAAAGGGTTTCCAGAGTGGCGTCAGGGAAAAAAAAAAAAGAAAAGCGCTGTGCCTCTGAATCGCCTCGGGTACTCCCAGCAAACCGCAGCTCGTCTCCCCCAGCCTGTCTCTTTGCAAGCGCCAAGCGTTCTCTCTCCCCCCCTCCCCCCCCCTTCTCCTGGAGCCCTTGCAGGGAAGGAGATGCAGCCAAGCAGCCCAGGTTTTTCTCCGGCTCCTTCCCCATCGATGCTTGGCAGATGAGCTCATGTTTGCCTTGGCCCACGTCCAAGGCCTGGGCTTAAAAGACTGAGAGGCAGCCAAGTTCAGGATGGTGAGAAGGTGTGCCTGGGGCAGGGGCTTTGAAAGGGGCTGAGAAGGAGGGCTGGCTGGGGGGGGAATGGACGCCCTTTTTAAAGAGGATAGCCTAGCCTCCCCCAAGAATGACACCAGAGGTGGGTTTCAGCAGGTTCTGACCAGTTCTGGAGAATCGGTAGCGGAAATTTTGAGTAGTTCGGAGAACCGGCAAATACCACTTCTGGTTGGCCCCACCCCCATCTATTCTCTGCCTCCCGAGTGCCAGCTGATTGGGAGGAAGTGGGGATTTTGCAGTAATCTTCCCCTGCCACCCCCACCAAGCCACGCCCATAGAACCGGTAGTAAAAATAATTGAAACCCACCACTGAATGACACCTTCCAGAAACATCAGAACAACAGGTCTCAGAATGTCCATCCACTGGCTGGGTGGCTTGGGACTTCTCTGCAGGTAGTCCTTGGCTCACAACTTCTGCTGCTAAGGGAGGGAATCGTTAAGGGAGCCGTGCCTGATTTGTTGCTGCAGTCGTTAAGCAAACCGCTGGGGTTAAATTAAGCAAATCTGGCTTTTTCCACTCAAGTTTGCTTGTCGGAAGATGGCTGGGAAAGTCGCAAACGGTGGTTGCGTGTGACCCTAGGATACTGCAACTATTGTAAATATATACTAGTTGCAAGGGATCTGAATTTTGATTATGTGAACGCGGGGAGACGCTGCAAAAGTTGTAAGTGGAAGTGGTTGTAAGTCGGGGTTTTTTTCAGTGCCTTCGTAAGTTGGTCACTAAACGAAATGGACACAAGTCAAGGACTACCTGTAGTCCCACTGTATTTAGAAGGCATTGATTTTGGGCAGGCTGGAGTAGTAGACCTTCTCATAGCATGCCACCCACTTGGAGAATCCCTTGTGGAACCGTATTATCCAAGCTGGTGGTTAGTTGCATGGCGCTGCCTAGCTAAGCCCAGCCTAGTGGGAGCCTCAAACCATTCTCAAGATCTTCCTAGCCTAAGAGGGACCCAGTGAAACAGCAATCCAGGGAAGCCCTCAAAGAAAATATCTTTTCCAGTATGGGGCTAAGGGACAGGATGCCCATCTTCCTTGGCCAAACTCTGCAGGCAGGAGAGCTGTTGACAGGGGTGGGCTGCTGGGGGTTCGGGAGAACCTCTAGCTAAGATTCTGTGCAGTTTGGAGGACCCCCAAATCCCACTCCTAACCGGCCCCTCCCACCCCATCCTGCCCCTCCCAGGAGTCCCCACATGGCCCATTTTGGATGAAGGCAAGTGCAGGGTGTGTGTGGAGGCTCAGGGAGGGTGAAAAACAGGCCTACCGGAAGTTCGGTAAGACCAGAAACGGGCCTGTTTCCAGTCTCCAGAGGGCCTCCAGAACCTGGGGAGGCTGTTTTCGCCCTCCTGGAGGTGTGAGGAAAGCCTCCAGAGCCTGGGGAGGGCAAACACACACACACACACCCACTGCCGTGGTGCAGGAGGCTGACTAGGCCACACCCACCATGGCCACGCCCACCCAGCAACCAGGCAGAGAACCCCTTGCTAAAATTTTTGAAGCCCACCCTTGGCTGTTGACGTCATCAGTTGTGCATCTGGGTCCCTTCTGGAAGTTCCTTCCTTAGATGGGTGCAGCTCTGATCCTCTGATCCTAAAGCAATCTCTCTTTCCCCACCCCCCCACACTCCTGGAGACGGCAATGTATATATACAGTATATGTGCCAAATTTCTATTTGAGGAAAAGGGGGGAAAAAAAGTTGCTCTGTTCTGCAAAAACCAGGAAAAGCTACTTACTGCCAAGTCATGGTTACTTGTCTGCATGAATGTCCTGCTTTGCACCTCGGATGACAATTCAATTTATCAATCAGCGCTGCAGTTGAGAAATACAAAATATGATAGTAATTCAACCAGTTCTTGGCTTTGTGGTTTTGGGATTTTCCCTCCTGACTTGGAAGCCGGTTGACTGGCTGGCTGGGATTGTGTTCCAAAAACCCACAAGTTGAGATGAACAGACTCCATTGCCGGCTGGGTCTGAAGCCTCGGCACCAGTTTCCTGGGCACAATATGTGGAGGTGTGGAGCTGTCTGAAATGTAGAGGTGTTGGGATGTTTGGAGCAAAGAGACTGGAGGCAAGAGGGTTAATAAAGTGCAGCTCACCAAGGATTTTGCTTGTTAATAAAATGCATTTGTTGAAAAAGAGACTACCAAGCTCGTTCTGATGGTTTGCTTTGGGGTTGCATGATTGTCTCACATGTAAGATGATTATGGATGGCTTTCATTCTTTTGCCATTTAGCGATTGATACATCAGGCTGCTGATATATGGTATATATCTATGTCTATATATGTATATGTATATGTATATCTATCGATTAGATAGATAGATAGATAGATAGATAGATAGATAGATAGATAGATAGATAGATAGATAGATATAGATAGATAGATAGATAGATAGATAGATAGATAGATATATACTGTATGTAGGTCTTTGGTTATTCGGGTCTTCTCCCACGTAAAATTGGAAGTGTCTTGGCGACGTTTCGACGAAGTCTCATTCGTCATCTTCAGGCTGGTGTTCTCGGCTTCGTGCTTCCAGGAGCTATATATATATAAATATATATACGTGATGGCTCAGTGGGTAATCTGCCAACCTAGCAGTTCAAAAGCATGTAAAAAATGCAAGTAGAAAAATAGGGACCACTTTTGGTGGGAAGGTAACAGCGTTCCCTGCGCCTTTGGCATTTAGTCATGCCGGCCACATGACCACAGAGATGTCTTCGGACAGCGCTGGCTCTTCGGCTTTGAAACGGAGATGAGCACCGCCCCCTAGAGTTGGGAACGACTAGCACATATGTGCGAGGGGAACCTTTACCTTTACCTTTATATTCATTGTTGGAAGAGGTGGTATTAATTAATTGCAGTAGACAATTTGTACAAATATTAAATATGACACTAGGAGCAATAGGAGCAAAGGATGGATGGATGGATGGATGGATGGATGGATGGATGGATGGATGGATGGATGGATGAAGGAATGAATGAATGACATTCAAGCAGCCGAGTTATATCATGGAACATAAGATGGCTGCTTTCAGAGTCTGCCTTTTCCCTTCAAGTGACAGGAATTACCTTCAAGTATATTGGCTGCAGATGACAAGAAACATAATTCCAAAAAAATCTCATTTTATTCTACCATATCCCATAACTATATCCATGCTTTGTTTTGTTTTATTGTAATCACTACACTGTTAATGAAGGAGTCAAAGACAGAATAGTAGTACAAAATGTTCTCAGTGCTTGCTTTTCTGTCTGAAAGTTCCTCCTGGCTCACTCACAAAAATCCCACGTATCCCAAGAACATCAGGTTGGGTGGGAAGAGCTCTTAGAACAAATCTCCGTCTTCCTCTGGAAACGGCTGGATTCTCCCCTCTATGGAAGACTATCAAGAGATATCCGGCAGTTTTCTCTTCTCCTATTCTGCCCAGCCTTAACTTTGGACCTTGTATTGTTGTTGATATCCAACGATAGCGTTCAGCTGACTAACCCTTCCGTTGTTTTCTTCTTCTTCTCTCCCAGCATCTTGGTAAACATGGACAACAACATAATCCAACATTACAGCAACCATATGGCTTTCCTCCTCGATGTGGTGGAAGCTGAGGAGAAGTTCCAGGTGACCCTCAAGGAGCTCTGAAGACTTCAAAACCTGCACTTCTGTGGGATGATTGACAGCGGGGCGGAGTTTCACTCTCCTTCTGCGCAAGCCCAACCCATCAGTTTGGAGTATTTGACTGGTCCGCGACCCCCTTTGAAGGGGGAGAAGTAACCAGAGATGGTGGCCGAGCTCTACATGTGAAGAGGGTGTAGAAGATCCATTCTCAATGTGAATGTGGAACTTCTCTCCGTTATTGTTACTACTGTTGCTATTGTTATTATTATTGTTATTATTTTATACTATATTATGATGCCGGTTGTCTGCCAGACGGAGAATTCTAACCTTTTTTCCCCGTTCCAAACTTAGGGGGGGAAAAGCTCTTGTCAGGTAGCAGTGCCTAAATCTCCTTTGTTTTGCTTTTTTGGAAATGGTTTAGTGTCAACTCTTGGGGCCAGGAGGCAAAAACCAAGTTCTAGACATGGTGAATTTTCAAACTAGCTTCGAAGACACAGCCCTGCGGCTCCTCTCACCCTACGTCCCTTCTTGCCTCAGAGGCCTGGATGTCCTCATCCAGAGCAACCGTGACTGTTTTATACATTTCCGATGCCTTTTTGTTATTTTATAAATATCCAAACATGTGCACGTGTATAAATATACCTTGTTTTATATATTGACATGGAGGAAAGTACAGCATTTCAAAACCAGCTGCCTCACAGTTCCCTCCCCCACTCCCCGGGCTGTCTTTCCCCCTCCACCCTTCTTCGTTCATTTTTCTAACTTTTTTTTTTTTTGTATATTCTATTGTAATAAAGATTCAGTGACAAGAAATGCAAGCCTGGCATAATGTAGCTCCGAGGAGAGAAGCAAGTTTTCACGATTCATTAAAATACACTGATTAAAAAGGCCTAAAAATCAAGATGGCGGCCACAACTACCCTGTTTCCCCAAAATAAGACATTCCCCTGATAATAAGCCCAGTCGGACTTTTGAGCGCACGGCAATAAGGCCAAGCGCTTATTTCAGGGTTCCAAAAAATATATATATAAGACAGGGTCTTATTTTCAGGGAAACATGGTAGGCGATTGCATCCTTTTTGCATGGAGGTAAAATGGGTAGAGTTTTGAACTCATGGTTGTGGTAGCCATCTTGACTTTTTTTTTCTTCCCGTGGAACCCCTGGTGTAGCAATGGATCGCAACCTTTATCACTCTCCTGTGTGTGTGCTTGTGGGTGCGCCATCTCTTGTTCTCGGAGGAGAAGCTTGGAGGCAATTAAAATCCATTCCTACATGACCTAAGCCAGTAATGTCAAACCTTTTCGGCACCAAGCGCCCAAACCAGTGTATGCACGGGCCAGAGGACCAGAAACTCAAAAACCAGCTGGCCAGCTGCTCTTCGGGTTTCCAGGGCTCCGGCACATGCAAAGATCAGCTGGCCGGTGCACATGAGTGCGCAGGAAACCATAAGAGTAGGTGGCGATGCCCCATGTGCCCATAGAGAGGGCTCTGCATGTTCACCATCACGGACCTAAGCCATCTCTCTTTGTTCCGGGACAATTCAGGAATCCAATAGAAGAGAATATCTGTAGCTTGGGATGGAACTGTGGAGTTCCTGGTGCCTCAGAGCTCAAGGGCTGGGTTGTTTGCAGACGTTTCATGACCCAACTGAGTAGTATCATCAGTTCCAGGTGACATCACCATCTTACCTAGACAATGTCCCCTAGTTGGGCAAGGAAACATCTGCAAGCAAACCACCAAGCTCAGCGAACACCAAGAACTTCACAAATCAGATTTGCTGCATTGCTGCAGGAAGCTAAATTGACTCCAAGAAAACTTTGAGAAATATGGGCTGTGAGCAGTTCTTAATTCATCCATTCATGGCCATAACTGGTTACGGCTGGGCTGGAATAAAAAGAGAAGTTAAACAGCACATTTACCTCTGCACAATACAGGTAATCCTTGACTTGTTGCTTGGCGGCCGTTTAACATTCCAGCGGACCTATCTGGGCTATTTACAACCTGGATTCGAATTTCCAACGGTTGGGCCCCCATTGTGGTCAGGTGACTGAACTTTGGCTGCTTAGCAACCAGGTACATTTATGGCCATTGGCAGCAACCAATGGTCACATGACCACATTTTTTTGCCCATGGACTTCTGCTTTTTTGTGGCAAAACTGATTTATAGCAAATCATGGGTTGATTTAATTGATGCAAAAAAAAAGGGTCATAAATTGAGTCAGTCACATGACCAACCTGCTTTAACAGCCATCACAAGTCTTGAACATGTGGGTTCCGTTACAGTCGTAACCCAAGGACTACTTTATCCCAACCTTGTCCTTCAGTTAATGCGGCTATGAATAAAGAGTCTTCTTTGGGAAGAGGGGGCGATGGGCAGCTACGTAAATTTGATTGGTAAACAAACAAACAAAAAATGGTCCCTGACAACTGAACTTGGGGACCAAAGGAAAGGATGGCAAAGAGGAGCAGCAACAGAGGGAAGAATAAAAAGCTCGGAATTCTGGGTGGAAAATGTCAGGAAGAATTCAGTGGAACAGGTTTGACAAGGAAAAAAAAAAAAGCCTTCAGAAGTGAAGAAGCTTCTTGGGTGAGAGGCGAATCATTTTCGAGGAATAAAAAAACGAGAAAGCTCAGTTGCCTTTTGGAAAAGCACTTTTGATACAACTATGACCTGGAGCAGGGGTCTCCAACCTTGGCAACTTTAAGGCTTGTGGACTTCAACTCCCAGAGTTCCTCAGCCAGCAAGCTACGGAGAGTCTGACAGTCCAGAAATGATGAGTTCAGCTGGCAAATAAAATAACGCAGTGACATTCCCCTTCTTTTGCCAGTTGAGCGAATATCAGTACATCATCAAATAAGGCACATCTTCTTACGCAGATACTCATGTTGAGCTGCTGGAAGTGGTTTGTTGAGCATATCAGCAATTTGATCATGTGTAGATACATATTGCATTTTGACAAAACCTTTTTTCACTAAATGTTTTATGTTTTGATAAAACAGCAACGCTGGCTGAGGAACTCTGGGAGTTGAAGTCCACAAGTCTTAAAGTTGCCAAGGTTGGAGACTCCTGACCTGGAGGATTGAGAATCTCCACAGACATTCCCAAATGACCGTTTTGCCCTTTTCCCAAAGGGGTCTCCAGGTTGAGGTTAAAAACCAAAAGAAAATGGCAGTCAGAATGGTGTCATCAAAGCTCTGGCCCATTTTATGTGTCAGATATTGGTTTTTTTAATTGCCACCTATGAGTGCCCTTGGCTTTTCCTGTTGGTTCACCAGTGAACATCTAAGCACGCATTTGCAAAAGCTGGAAACGGATCTGGGTGGACCTGCCTGTCACCTAACAGGGAAGCAGCACTTCAGTCTATTGATTCTGGTTTAGCATGTTCAAGGAACGTGGTGACTGCTATTACCAGGGAAGTTATGATTTCCCGCACGGTTGTGCAACTTTGCCCAGGAGGATGGCCATCGTTCCTTCAACCGTTCTCCCGGGAGCTGCTTGCCCAGAAGAAAAACTAAATATGACATGCTTTCATTGACACCTAAAAGGCAACAGAAGTTAAGATAGATTTTTTTAAACAGAATAACAGAGTTGGAAGGGACCTTGAAATCTTCTAGTCCAGGGATCTGCAACCTTGAACACTCAAAGAGCCATTTGGACCCGTTTCCCACAGAAAAAAAAACACCGGGAGCCACAAAACCCTTCCCGTGCCTGACTATTTCTTGAGTGGCCACAAAACTAGCATATGTAGTTGAATTAAACGTTGTTTTCTTCTGAAACTTTGCTTTTCTTGGATTTATCCATGGTTGGCCTACCGGAGGTTGAAAAGCTCAATAAATTGCGTGCCGGCAAGTGTCGCACATTGGCGGCTGTGAGTGATATTTTGAGTGACAGGGAGCCACAGCAGAGGGGTGAAAGAGCCACATGCGGCTCCAGAGCCACAGGTTGCTGACCCCTGTTTTTTTTGTTGTTGTTCTAGTCCAACCCCCCTGCTCAAACAGGAAACCTTATACCCGTGATGGCAAACCTACGGCATGCGTGCCAGAGGTGGCACATAGAGCACACACACACACACACACACACACACACACACACACACACACCGTCGTCCCAGGTCAGATCTCCGTGGTGTTTCTTTCGTCAGCTTCTGTTTCCCTGCAAACGACGAAACAGAAGCTCACGAAAGAAAAAGATCTTACTTCTTGCCGCGCTGCCGCTGTTGGGATGCCCCGCCTCCTGCCAGCCCACTGGTCTTTGGGTTTCTGCTGTGCATGCGCGTTCATGTCTGCGCATGCACATGCATGTTCGCGCACATGTTGGTACATGCACACATTTGCATGTGCACACGCACCTTTCAGTTTGGGCACGTGCACGGGCGGTTTGGGCACGCGGTGTCTAAAAGATTCGCCATCACTGCTCTATACCATTTCAGACAAATGTTTATCCAGTCACCTCTTCAAAATTTCCAGTGTTGGAATAGCCACAACTTCTGGAGGCAAGTTGTTCCGCTGGTTAATTGTTCTGTCAGGAAATTTCTCTTTAGATCTAGGTGGCTTCTCCCCTCAATTAGTTTGCATCCATTGTTTCTTGTCCTGCCTTCAGGTGCTTTGGAGAATAGGTTGAGCCCCTCTTCTCTGTGGCAGCCCCTGAGATATTGGAGCACTGCCATCATGTCACCCCTAGTCCTTCGTTAAACCAGACATGCCCAATTCTTGCAACTGTTCTTCGTAAGGTTTGGTCTCCATTGAATTAGCTCTTATAATTACAGTCCGGTCATCTATTTTAAGGTTATCCCTTTTTATCATATGAAAAATTACGATTTGGTATGAACTTTTGGAGGCCTCTGTGGACGAAGCCTGAGACGTTGGAGGGTCAGGGGCAGGGGTGGGTTCTAAATTTTTTTACTACCGGTTCTGTGGGCGTGGCTTATTTGTGGGTGTGGCTTGGAGGTCATGTGACTAGGTGGGCGTGGCTAGCTGGTCAGAGTCATTTCTGGAAGGTCCTCGCACTCACGACCAGTCCTCGCACTTATGACCCGACTCATTTGTTTGCTTTTAACACTGATCAGCTGTAGGACGGCCCTTTGAAGCCCCGTGGCAAGAGTTTAAACAGTTTTTTCCCTCTAGTCATCAGCTGGGACTCAGGAGGCAGCAATAGATTGGGGGTGGGACCAAATAAAAGGTAAGAATAACGTGGGGTGGTGGTGGGGAGGGCGGGGGGGAGAACCGGTTCGGTGATGTCATATCGTCACCGCTACCGGCTCGGCCGAACCAGACCGAACCGGGAGGAACCCACCACTGGTCTGGGGTGAGCCTGGCAATGCAAAGATGGGCATTGCTTGTTGAGTGAATTATGATCTTCTGCAGTATGGGAAGATCGCAATTCACTCAACAAGCAAGGTCCATCTTTGCATTGCCAGGCTCACCCCTGATCTTCCAACTTCTCAGGCTTGGTCCACAGAGGCCTCCAAAAATGGATGAAAAGTTAAACTATCCACTGCTAGCCATAGCTATGTTGAGGAACACTGCTGTAGGAGCTTTTTGTGTTTTCATATCTATCTTCTGAATCTGCTCCTAGTTTCCTTCACACAAGACACTTCACCAAATTACCGTACTTTTCAGAGTATAGGACGCTCCGGACTATAAAATGCACCTACCTTTTTTGGGGAGGAAAACAAGAAAAAAAATCTGCCTCTGCCTCCCAGCAATTTGTCTCCTTGCAGCAAACAGCAAACAGCCTGTTTCAGTTTCATTTTCAGCACAACCTGATTAGCACAAGAAAAAAAAATCTGCCTCTGCCTCCCAGCAATTTGCCTCTTTGAAGCAAACAGTGGAGGCTGAAAATGGGGTGTGCAGATGCGGCAATAGGCAATGGCAATCCCTGCTGCCTGAAACAGCTGTTGGTCGGGAGGCTGATCCAACCAACAATCAGCTGCTTGTGCTAATCAGGCTGTGCTGAAGCTGAAACTGAAACGGGCTGTTTGCTGTTTGCTGCAAGGAGGCAAATTGGGGCTACATTCAGTGTATAAGACACACCCAAATTTTCATCCTCTTTTTTTGGGGGGGGGAGTGCATCTTATACTCCGAAAAGTACAGTAGGTCCAATTCTAATAGGAGCATTTGTCCAACGTGCTCTGTTTGATTTATTGAGCCAAATGTGCTTTGTGAAACAGGTCCATCTGCTTAGTTCGTGGCTGACAATAAATCTCCTTGAATTAGCACCAACTTAATTTCTGACACTGTTATGAGAGCAAGAGTTCTGTGTCCATCTTCTCCATACCTATAACTGTGTAAATGTTTTTGTATCTTTCCCTCAGCCACAAACATTTTCCCCAGCACTTGGGTTTCCCACAGTCAAGAAGTAAATCTAAACCATGTCAGAATTTTTCATTTTGGCCCAGAATTCCTGCCAAGAAAGATTAGTCCCTGACCTGAAAATCAGTAGTGAAACAATAATGACTTTCTGTCAGGGGTGAAATGCTCCCGGTTCGGACCGGATCGCCCGATCCGGTAGCGATGACGGCGGGTGGTTCGGAAAACCGGTAGCAAAAATCTCTGCCCATCCCCCAAGCCCAGCTGAGCAGCGCAATCACCTGAGGCTTTTTTTTTTTTACTTTTAAAAGCATTTTTTCTTCGGCCGAAAAAATGTTTTTAAAAGTAAAAAAAAAAAAAGCCTCTGAGGATCAGGCAACTCAGCTGGGATCGTCAGAGCATCAAAGCATTTTTTCTACAATTGTTTCAGCCGAAAAGGTTGTAGAAAAAATGCTTTTAAAAGTTTTTTTTTTAAAAGTTGGCCACGCCCACCGTCACATTACACCCACCACCACCACCAAGCCATGTCCACAGAACTGGTAGTAACAAATTTTACATTTCATCACTGCTTTCTATCCAAAACTTTTTCAATCCTACCCTACAGCACCAATGAAAACCGAATGTTTTCCACCATTCAAAAGAGAGACAGGATTTTCAAATGATCTAAAAACAGACTCCGCCAAAACCAACCTTGTGGAATCTCTCGCTTTATAATACGGGCACCCATTTGTTGCTGATGTTGTACATGAAGGATTGTTTCTGTGGAACAGGGATGTTGTAAGTGCCTGGAAGGAGAAACACAGAATTTTAAGGGATCAGCTTGCAGGATGTGGGCGCTCCTTCGCATCATTATGTTTCTCTCATACCCCTTGCTTTCTGCATTATACATAGTCCTTGACTTACAACCACAGCTAAGCCCCAAATTTCTGTTGTTAAGCAAGACAGTTGTTAAGTGAGTTTTGCCCCCATTTTACGACTTTTCTTGCCACAATTGTTAAGTGAATCACTGCAGCTGTTTAATGAATCTGGGCTCCCCTTGGATTATGCCTGTCAGAGGGTCACAAAAGGTAATCGCGTGTCCCAGGGGCACTGCAACCATCATAAATACATGCCAGTTGTCAAGCATAGCTTAGGACCTGGTTATTTACGGGACCGCCTACTACCACCAATAGCCTCCCACCGGCCGGTACGCTCCCATAGAGAGGGGCTCCTCCGGGTGCCGTCGACCAAACAATGTCGACTGGCGGCCCCTAGAGGGAGGGCCTTCTCTGTGGGGGCACCTACTATCTGGAACGAGCTCCCCTCGGAGATACGGAGGATCCCGGATCTGCGCACCTTCCACCGCGCTCTTAAGACCTTTTTATTCCACCAGGCGGGCCTGTCCTAATCTTTTCCCTCTTTTTAATTATGCAAATTTTAATCGGTTTTTAAATAATTGGGGTGTTTTAATCTGTCTGGGCCAAATTGTTTAATTCTATTGTTTGTTGGCCAAATTGTTTAATTTAATTGTTTGTTTTTAAATTTTGTATCTATGTATTTTTACTGTTTGGCTGTTCACCATCCTGAGTCCTTCGGGAGTAGGGCGGTATATAAATCAAATAAAGTAAAGTAAGTAAGCATCTGAATTTTGATCCCTTGGCCATGGGGATGCTGACATGGTCATAAGTGTGAAAAACAGTCATGCCCATTTTTTTCAGGGCTGTTGTAACTTCGAGCAGTCCCTAAACAAATGGTTGCAAGCTGAGGACTACCTATATTAAAATAACAACCTACTTATTTTAGGAAGCTTTCTCCCTGCTCGGCAAATGCAAGGAAAAAAAAAAAAAGCTTAGGTATTGTAGTTGATCAGATGCCAGCAGCCAACAGAACTGCAGAGGAAACAGTTCAGCTATGGGCTGGGTTCCTTCTTTCCTTCTTTCTTTCTTTTTTTTTCTTCCAAGCAACAGGTTTTCCAGATCAGATGCATGAAAAACAGAAATTCAGCAGGCACAGCTGCATCTGCATGTCGGGCGGAGCAATGTCTAGCAAATTCCTCCTTTCTCTGCACTTCCCGGCACAGATGTGCTGCCAGGAAAGAAAATAAGTACCGACGAATCTGTGTGTGCAACCACAAGTTGGGACTAGAAGGAGGCGCAAGCGGCAACGACGAAGCAGCATTTTCCTCCACCTCCTTTTGCTGCAGAAGCTCCATAAAATGGTTCCCAGGCAGGCTGTCTTCACACATCCCGCTAAGCCAAGGGTGTCAAACTCAAGGCCTGCGGGCAGGATCCGGCCCACAGGGTGGTTAGATCTGGTCCACAGGTCTGCTCTGGAAACAGCGAAGGGCCAGCCCGCGGTGCCTCTGCCAGTGAAATTGGAGATCCGTTTTCATTGGCAGAGGGTTGCAGGAGGCCATTGCAGCCAAAAACGGAGCTTGGGAACCTGTTTTTGCTGGCAGAGAGCTCAAGCCACCACAGGCGCCCCCAACACGAGTGACATCAACCTGGCCATGCCCCCCCTGACCCCCCCAAGCAGTAGTGGGTTTCAAATCCCGGCACTACCAGTTTGCTATCAGGAACGCAAGCGCGCGACACTTCTGCACATGCACAGAAGATTCTGCGCATGTGCAGAGTGTTTTTATGACAGGTGGGCGGAGCCTCCCGCCACCACCACTGCCCCCAAGGTCAAACACAACCGTGATGCGGCCCTCAATAAAATCGAGTGTGATACCCCTGTGCTAAGCCATCATGGAATTTAACACAATCTAAGCATCCAGTCCAAGGCCAACCAAGCAGTGTTATGATCAGATTCACAGCTTGCACTAACCCAGAGTCTGTGGAAAAAGCTAACACTGACTGAGGTTCATAACACACATAAAGGGTCTCGTTGGCTAGGGATGATGTGAGCTGTAGTCCAGCTCAGTACAGGTAGTCCTCAATTTACAACCGTAATTGAGCTCGGGATTACAATTTGGAGTCATGCCGATAATTAAGCGGGTCATCATGCAACCGATCAATTTTAAGACTTTTAGGAGCCTTGGTGGGGCAGCGGACTAAACTGCTGTTAAAGTAGCACTTAGCTGCCAGCTGCCTGCAATTACTGCGAGTTCAAATCTCACCAGGCTCAAGGTTGACTCAGCCTTCCATCCTTCCGAGGTAGGTAAAATGAGGACCCAGTTTGTGGAGGCAATAAGCTGACTTTGTATAAAAAAGAACACCGCTTAGGGGGTGCCAAAAGCCCTACTAAGCAGGTATATACAAAAGTATGAAGGCTATTGCTTAACGCATTGTAAGCCGTCCTGAGTCTCCAGAGAAGGGCGGCATATAAATCGAACTAACAAATAAATAAATAAATAAATAAATTTTTCGGTGGCAGTGAAGTGAACACGATGTCCACAATGGTAATTGTTTTTGGTCAGAAATTAGAAGTAAATGCCAGTTTCCCGCAAACAAAAATGTCATAAATTGTAGTCACATGACCACAGACATCGCAAATGCTGTAGATGAATCTGAGTCTTAAGTACTTTTCTTTCTTTCTTTCTTTTGGTGGTGGTGGGGATCCATTATAACTTTGAATGGTCACTAAGAGACCGGTCATAAGTCAACGATTACCTGTAGGAAGGTGCCTTGATTGGCAAAGACTGTATTCAGTATGAAGTGAAAGGTTATGGGAGGAGGGAAAAAAACAGGGAGGCTGTAGGAGATGACCAGGCTGAGCCCAAGGGAGGGGTCAAACGTGTCATCAGTCAAGAGTCCCTTCGCTCCCACAAGAGTTCTAAGTCCCGCCTACCTTGAATTCCTTTCTATTCTTATCTCCCGCTAATTCCCCTTGACTGTTAGTAGTTCAGATTCTCATAGAGAGCTTAAGCTTGCAGTAAATCTTTATACTCATTTGAACTGCCTGGATCTCCCGATTTCCCTGGTCCTGGGAGGGGCCATGAGGCCATTGAAAAGACAAAGCTGGGAGTCTTTTCAGGTTTGCAATTAGGGGGTTGTGATTCTACTTGATCAATTCTACAACTTTTGCACATTTCTGTACTATCAAGATCACTGAAGTTCATAAAATCGTAACATTGAAAAGAAACACTGAGGAGTCTTTTTTGAAAAATGTGAAGGCAGGGGCATCCATGAGGTGGATCAAGAAGGTTAAGACAGCAGTCTTGATTTCCAGCAGACTTTTGAACTGATCTGACCCTTCAACCCATTTTTGTGAAAATACACTCAAAACAGAGACAATATTATGCCGGCAGTAAGATTTAAATAATAACCCTCCAGAGTTGAAGCAATTTACTTCAACTTGTATCTCCGATAAGATTTATAAATGATAAAGGAAAACAAGTATTAATAAAGATGTTTAAAAATTCCTTCTAATTTTTTTTTTGGTTCCTTTCTTAAAGGAAAGCCATAATTGTTCCTTTAAAAAAAAGCTATTTGGCTTTCCATGGACTTTGAAAAGTTTTTAAAAATCCATTTAAGCCCTTCTCATATTTTAGGATGTGTAGTTTATCCTGATAATTCCAAATATTCAGCCTAGAAACTCTATTACCAGTGATTAATGACCACTTTTCATAAATCAAAGGCAACATTGCCATTGTCTTCATCTCAGACTCCACATTCATCTGTCAGAAGGACTTAAGAGATTTTTGGTGTCCTTTACTTCCTTTAACGGCTGAAGGAAATATTATGTTACCACTTGGGACTGATTGCTCACAAATCTCAAGCATGCTTTAGCCAATATCAACTCTTGTGGGTTTTTTCCCCCCAGGTGATGTCTTGTTCCTATGTGAAGGAATATTCAGAACTGGTTAAAAGGACAAGGAAGTGGGTAGGATCTTGAAAAACATTGTATACTGCCCTTCTGCAAATGCAGGATGTCCTTGACTTATGACACCAATTGTGACCAGAATTTCCATTGCTAAGCAAGATGGTTGTTAAGTAAGTGACAGCAGATTTTACAACTTTTTTTTTTGCCATGACCGCAAAGCAAATCAATGCAGTTAGGTCAGGGATGAGCAACTGTGGCCCTTTTACAATCTGTGGACTTCAACTCCCAGAATTCCTGAGACAGCCAAGCTGTCTCAGGAATTCTGGGAGTTGAAGTCCACAGGTTGTAAAAGGGCCACAGTTGCCTACCCCTGAGTTAGGTGAATCACTTGATAGTTACGACTTTGTTTGTCGTAAGCGGACTAGGAAGATTGCAACTGGTGATCATGTGACCCTGGGATGCTGCAACCATCATAAATCCACATTGGTTGCCAAGTGCCCAAGTTTTGATCACATGGGGATGCTGTGACAATCATATAGCAAGCGTGAGGACTGGTTGTAAGTCACTTTTTTCAGTGCTATCATAACTTCGGTCATTAAACAAACGTTTGTAATTCAAGGACTAACTGTACTACAGCAGAAGACAAAAATGTCACTCCGACTAATAAAGCTGAATATCCTTTATCATACATTCAAAGGCCAAGGAGAAAGAGTAAGGGGAAAAGATTAAAGTGTGAGGGAAAAAATGAGGCAAGGAAATGACAGGATAGCAGTAGCAATAGCACTTAAACTTCATAGTGTTTTACAGCCCTCTCTAAGCTGTTTACAGAGTCAGCCTCTTGCCCCCAACAATCTGGGTCCTCGTTTTACCGACCTTGGAAGGACGGAAGGCTGAGTCAACTTTGAGCCGGTGAGAATTGAACTGCCAAACTGCTGGCAGCCGGCAGTCAGCAGAAGTAGCCTGCAGTACTGCATTCTAACCACTGCACCACCATGGCTGAGGATGTTTTCTGTGATCCAAGCTTTGGCTGATATTTGGCTTTTTAAAAGCCATTACTTGACCTAATTTCTGCGGATAACAGTGGATTAGAAATCTTTCTTTTAAAAAAATCAAATCACCATTGACATTGACAACATCATATTCAGTCAATTGCTGAAGGCAGTGTTACTAGGATCAGCTTATATCCTGCCACAGCACCTTTAACACCATCAAACAAAACATCTGCTATCCCAGGTCCTTGGGGAGGACTCGATACGTGGATACAAATGTCAAATCCAATCTAAACCTCTGGCAGACTGTACAGCCATTCATAATAAAGATAGTACCAATAGTAATAAGGACCTTGGGTGCAATCTGAAAACATGTGGAGCACCACTTGAACATTATTGGCATTGTCGAAAGCACCATCAGTCAATTGCAAAAGGCAGCTTTACTTGGAAGAGCTTACATCCTGAAACAATGCCTTTAACACCATTAAACACAACATCTGCCTATCCCATGTCCAAAAGAAGGACTTAGTAGGTGCATGAAAATGCCAAATCCAGTCTAAACATCCACGACCAACAATAATAAATAGGAAGATAGCCTCGGGGCAGTTCACAATATACAACTCTAGCTATGATAGTCATTTCCCGGCTGGGCAAGGCAAGCATTACAGGACTGAAGAATCATGCATTCATCATCTACCTTCTGTAGTGGCACACCCTACAAGCTCCACCACAAGGTCATCAATGACCGAATAGTGTGCTTGCCAATGCAGGAAAACGAAGGATGTTTTTCCAAAGGTAATTCATGATACAACCTGTTTACAAACTCTTGTACCAAATGACATGGAAGCCACAGGTCCTGCTAATTGAACTTTTTGATTAATTGGTGCCCAATATGCCACCTTTCTTGAGGTTTGGCAACAGGTTATGAAAGTCCCATTTTGTGTCAAGACAGACAGATGCTTTCAAAAAGAAGTCTCAGCCAAAAATACTTCTCAGAGGAAGACCAAGAGCTGGACTGTAATAGGTCAGCCCCATTGTTATTTTCTGCTTTGCTGCTGTTGATACCCCTCAGGGCTGTCTTCAAAATATAGACAAAAAAAGTCAAGATGGCGAACATGACGATAAACAAAAACAGTTGGAGCTTTGACTGCATCGTCAGGGCTGCCATCTTCACTTTTTTGACCATGCCCTGAAGATACCCTGACAACAGCGGTGAAATGCACTTACCTTCGCTACCGGTTCGGAAATGTGAGCACACACCTCTTCTGTGCATGCACAGAGGGTCAAAAATGGGACGTAATGATGTCCCAGTGGGTGGACAGAGCCTCCCACTGCCGGCCCTACCAGCTCATGTGAGTCAGATAGATCCGGCCGGATTTCACTGCTGCCCTGATACCCCAGCTACATTCTTGTAATTTCCATATGTCAATCTTCCCTTCTGATTTTCTTTTTCACTTGCTCTTGGCCTCTCCAGCCAGCCAGCTGACCTTTTTGGAGTTTCACTTTCACTCTTCTCAAATGGACGACTGTCTGGTCTGCTATAGGGGCGTTTAACAACAGTTATGTTCTCACCTGGTCCAGGTATGCCTTTGTGGAATTTATCACCTGTCCAGCGTTTTGTGTTCGAAACAAATACAGCACTGGAGATGTAGTGCTTAGGAGGTCCTCTGTAGTCCACTATGTCATATTGGCCGGGCCCTGGTAAAGGTGGATTTTGGGGGGGAGGGACAGCAGGGGCCGAGAAATTCAAGATGCATTTCCTCCTATCAAAAACAAAACATAGTCTTAAATTCTCTGTGATTTCAAGCAAAACCGGGATTATTTTAATTGGAGTGGTAACCTATGGCAAATCCTCCAGCTAGAGATTTAGGGACTACTACAATTCCAATAGTTCCCTAGTCTACATGGCCTAATACCCTGTTTTCCCAAAAATAAGACCCAGTCTTATATTTTTTTGAACCCTGAAATAAGCGATTGGCTTTATTGCCATGCACTCAAAAGCCCAATTGGGCTTATTATCAGGGGATTTCTTATTTTGGGGGAAACAGGGTAACAAATCTAAGTTGAGATTAGAACAAATTAGAACTAAGTTTAGAACAATTCTAGGTTGGCTCTTACTTTGTAGGGACATCTGCATGACATCATCTTGGCTTTCAAAGTTCTTGGTATTTCAAGACCCACCACGATAGTGTGCATAACACTTTGGAGTCAGTTGCTTCAAAATGTACAAAATTGTGCCACCGTAAAACCTGGCTGCCATTCTTTCCAGCAGTGTTTCTCAACCTGGGACAACTTTTAAGATGCATTCTAAACCTTCTGGCTTGGGGTATTTCTGGCAGCTTAAAGTTGCCAAGGTTAAGTAACACTGCCTTAAATCCAACATTTATTTTCCTAGGATTGTGCTAAGAAGTTGCAAAGCTGGTTTTGCATGAGCACCCTGGGTGCTCAGCCGCTATCCCTTCGAATCAGAAACACGACACATTCTTACTCTAGAACAGTGGTCACCAACTAGTGGTCCACGAGAAAATTTTGGTGGTCCGCAGAAAAATTACTAGCATTTTTTTTATATTGCACTAAATCAGGGGTCCTCAAACTATGCCCCCTGGGCCAGCTACATGAAATGAATGTTTATGTTGCTGCAGAGAGTCTCCTCCTTTGGGGTCTTTTTGTGAAGGTTGGAGTGGGGCAGAAATTCCAACTTGGGGTCTACTTCAGCCTCCTGGTGTGGGGCTTTGGGCGAAGGCTGGAGGGAAGTGCTGCTGGTGGCGAAGAGCCAGAGGGCCTTGTTCCAGTGGGACTGCATCATGGCCTGGAATTGGCTGACCATCTCAGCCCGCTGAGCCTCCAGGTGCCGGTACCTGGCCTTGCACTCCCGCAGGTCTTCCCTCTGCTTGGAAAGCCTATGCTCGTAGCCCTGAGTGAGGTGCTTCTGCTGAGCCTCCTTCTCGGTCAGATCCAATTTGAACTGAGCCAGCTCTTTTGCCAAGTGACAGCAAGTTGGCCATTGAGTTGGCCATGCCCACCCAGTCACACGCCCACCTAGTCACACCCCCCCCCCAAGCTGGTCATTAGGCAGATCATATTAATGGTCCGTGGGATTTAAAATTATGAATTTAGTGGTCCCTGCGGTCCGAAAGGTTGGGGACCCCTGCTCTAGAATACCTTTCATAGAAATTCTGCATGGTAATTTTAGAGCACTTTTTAGGGACTTCTTGAAAAGAAGAGCAAAACGTTACTCTTCTCATTAGAAAAATGGGAGACATGTATCAGCCGTTACTCTAATGTCATCTTGACATCAATGGGAATTGAAATGGCCTCTGGAATGTTCTAGTATTTTCTGCCAGCAGAGATGTCTTTTACTCACCAGGTTTGATCTACCTCTTCCCTGTTTGGTTGGTTTATGGCTATTATTACCCACTGCCTGTTCCCCCTGCATTAAAAAGGCATGAGATGTAGTAAAGATACTCTGACCGTGTGCAGAGAGTAGCCGATTTGTATTAGGAGAGGAGGAAGGGTGAGCTCTGGGAAGTATTTGGGCAAGAATGTAGGGGGTAGATCTTAATCTTATCTCTAGCAAAATGTCTCCGCTGTTTGCAGGACAGTCGCTATAAAATTGACTTGGTTGAGCAACTGGCTAATAGTTTTATTGGTCCTTGGGTCACATACGAGCGGGAAGTATGAAAGCACCTTTGGTTCCCTAGAGATTGTTAAAGAGAAGGTCAAAATCCATCGATGCCAAACTGGGTTTAGATTAGAGATTGAAAAATGAGTTCTGTAGTCCAGTCTCTTCCAATCCAGAAATCTACTCAGTTATACATACCATAATATATTTACTGCTCTACGCACCCTGAGCAATATTTGCTATTAAGTTGTCACATCTGGAATTAAGAAAGAAATGGATCCTGGCCTATTCCTTGCATGCTGATTAGTTCAAAGAAGGTGGGTTAACAGTCCTTTTCATAAGAGGAGCCTGGGAATTTGCTAGTCCAACTGCTTTGAGAGCAACTTTTATTTTATTTTGCTTTTCTTTGATTATTTGGGGGTCACGCTACCAACATCACTGTCTGCCTGGAATGTTCTTTTTGCAAAGGGTCCAAGGCAGAGGTGGTATTTGGCAGGTTCTGACCAGTTCTGGAGAACCCGTAGGGGAAATTTTGAGTAGTTCAGAGAACCGGTAAATACCACCTCTGACTGGCCCCGCCTCCATCTATCCTCTGCCTCCCGAGTCCCAGCTGATCGGGAGGAAATGGGGATTTTGCAGTATCCTTCCCCTGGAGTGGGGAGGGAATGGAGATTTTACAGTATCCTTCCCCTGCCACATCCACCAAGCCATGCCCACCAAGCCATGCCACGCCCACCAAGCCATGGCCACAGAACTGGTATTAAAAATTTTTGAATCCCACCACTGGTCCAAGGATATGTGCCCAGAAAAAGAGTTCAGAGCAGTGCTTCTCAACCTTGGTCAACTTTAAGACCTGTGGACTTCAACTCCCAGAATTCCCCAGCCAGCTGGGGAATTCTGGGAGTTGAAGTCCACACGTCTTAAAGTTGACCAAGGTTGAGAAGCACTGGTTTAGAGAAATGCCAGTTGATTTGCTATTTAAGAAAAGGAACTGGAGAGGATTGGCAAACGTCTTTTCGGGACTCACAGTCCAGAGAATCTCTTTGATGGTCCAATTGTGGTTTCAACCGCCTGCTGATAGGCTGCTGGTCCTGGGCTCAGCGTTTCTGGATCGGTTGTACGGCCTGTTTTGGATCTAAAGCAGGACACCAGCACTGGAGGAGACACTCTGATCAGGGAATCTTTAATTCGGTAGTGACCTAAATTTAATAAAATAAAATAAAATATGGAAAAAACAACTTTCCAAATGATACAGCCAGGTATTATTCCCTTTTGCGAGCTGCCCGTAATTGTTTACTTGAGATGGGCAGCCACACAAATCAAATAATGATGATGGGAAAAGGAAGCAAAGATAGTACCAAGGATAATAGGTGCCGTGGGTGCAATCTCACAGTATCTGGATACTTCTTGCTCACCATCGGCATTGACAAAATTACCATCAGTCAATTCCAAAAAAAAGCAGCTTACATCCTGCAGCGATGCCTTTAATACCATCAAACAACATCTGCCTATGCCAGGCCCTTGGGAAGGACCAATAGTTGGATAAAAACGCCAAATCCAGTCTAAACCAGGGGTGAAATGCTACCGGTTTGCCCTGGTTCAGGTGAACCAGTAAGCCTAGGTCACAACACATCCATTACTTGGAATAAGAGTGAAATCTTCCAGCTTCTTGGGCAAAATGTTTTTCTTTTAGGACTATATCTGCCAAACAATTGGATTACGGGTGGGTGGGTGGGGGGAAAGGTATGCCATTCTTTCAAAGAATTATTTCCGTTTCTAAATAACAGACTGTCCATGGAAAGCTAAGCATTATACCCAGTCAAGTAGAAAAATGTTAGGAAAATAGAGCATTTCATTTCTTTGTTAAATTTATAGGTGAACAACAAATAATTTTGACCAAAGGCTGGTTATGCACAGCATTTTTATGCACTTCGCAAGGATGAACTGCCCTCTTTACTGAGTGCATTTTATTTCTGTCGTCCTTTTGAATATTATAAACTAAAGCATGTTTTTGCTTACATGGAGAAGGCACTCGTTCCCTGCTGCTGCATGACATGGTCCGTTTTGTTTTTGATGAGAAGACAGACTTGGCGCCAAGTTTGTAGGTCTGTTTGCAAAGATCCACTGAAACCTGGAAATGCAAATCTGTGTTTTGCAACAAGCTGATCTTTCAAATGCCATTGGATTGCTTTTTAATTGGACATTAAATCAGTAACAGAGTGGTCAATGCCTGGAATGTACTACCTGACTCTGTGGTTTCTTCCCCAAACCCCCCAAACGTTAACCTTAGACTGCCTACTGTTGACCTTACCCCATTCCTAAGAGGTCTGTAAGGGGCATGCATAAGTGCACCAGTGTGCCTACCGTCCTTCTTCCTAATATTCCCTTTTATTCATATCCATTTCATGTATTCATAATCATGTTTATAGTTATATCTGTTATCTTATACATGCTTGACAAAAATAAATAAATAAATATTAAAATACTTCCCAAACAGTGGTGCTCGTTATACAATTTCTCCGCCTGAAGTATTGCAAGCGCATCAGCCAAATAATAGTCTGCTAAAATGTGTGAATGCTATTATTTTAGAGTACAGGTCAATAATTAGCATGAAGATCCATCTTTATGGCATGGCCTTTGGTCACTGTTGGATAAAACTCTCTCTTGTACACTTTTTTTTTAAAAAAATGTTCTCCACAATTTTATTACAATACAAAATTTTGCACGGAGGAATGAAGTTGTCCAGAATCAGGTAAGATGATCTGTGTTTTTTATTCTTTAAAGCAGTGTTTCTCAATCTTGGCAGTGAAGTTGACAATGTGTGGACTTCAGCTCCCAGAATTCTCTAGCAAGTGGCTGGCTAGGGAATTCTGGGAACTGAAATCCACACATCTTCAGTTTGACAAGGTTGAAAAACACTGTTTTAAAGGATTTGTTTTGGTCTACATCAGGGGTGTCAAACTCAATTTCATTGAGGGCTGCATCAGGGCTGTGGTTGACTCTGGGGGGGGCGGTCGGGTGTGGCCAGCCAGGTGGGCGTGGCCAACCAGGTGTGGGTGACCAACTGGGTAGGTGTGGCCAACTGGGTGGGCGTGGCCAGCTTGATGCCACTCCCCAAACTGCTGGCATGTTTCCTCTTTGCATTGGGTAGACCAGGACGGCCCCGCGGGTTGGATCCAACCACATTGCGGACCGGATTCGGCCCACGGGCCTTGAGTTTGATACCCCTGGCCTACATGATCTCCATGGTTTTTATTAACAGATGTCGAGGGCAGAAACAATACCTGCTGAACTGAAGCTTGTTTTTCCCCCAGTTCATGTAAACCTGTTTTTTTAGTGAGTACAAATAGATAAATTAAGGGCTCATTATCCTATGGTGAATTTTGCACAACCCTGAGGGAAAGGTGTAACTGCTGGATCTACTTTGTAAGGAATTCTTTATCTGAAAACTAATTACCCTTTCTAATCCATAAAAGACTCGGGCAACAAATTAGCCTACAAATAAAAGATCGTGTATTGGGACACTGATGACATAATTGGGACTTCAGAGCCTGGAGAAGCTTCCGCCAACCTGGTGCCCTCCAGAGATTAGAAAGATAGGGATGGTAATCCAATTCACCTGGAGAACATCAGAATGCAGATTCTTCCCAGCAGTCTTCTCTATGTGGCAGTAAGCATCCCTGCTAGACTGAACCTCCCATCACTCCTGGTCTCTTATGGTAATCTTTGGTGCAAGCTAGTAACATCTTGTCAAAAGAGAGAGACAATCCCACAAATCAGGGGTGAAATGCTCCCGGTTTGGACCGGATCGCCTGATCCGGTAGCGATGGCAGCGGGTGGTTCGGAGAACCTGTAGCAAAAATCCCTGCCCCCAGCCCCTCATGCCCAGCTGAGCTGCGCAATCATCAGAGGCTTTTTTATTTTATTTTTAAAAGCATTTGTTCTACAACCTCTTCCGCCGAAGAGGTTGTAGAAAAAATGATTTTAAAAGAAAAAAAAGCCTCTGACGATCAAGCAACTCAGCTGGGATCGTCACAGCCTTTTAAAAGCATTTTTTACAACCTCTTCGGCAGAAGAGATGGCAGAAAAAATGCTTTTAAAAGTAAAAGAAAAAAAGTTGGCCATGCCCACCCAGTCACATAACCCACCACCACCAAGCCACGCCCACAGAACCGGTAGTAACAAATTTTACATTTCACCACTGCCATAAATCCTAGCTTGATCTGGGTCCATTGCAGATGCCCAAAAAATATGATAAAGGCCAATCTGATCCAAAGTGAATCAGCAGCATTGGACTCTCATATCAACCAGTGTCTTTGGAGACAACCAAAGCAGCCTTTTTTATCAGTCCAGTGCTCTTCTGCTTGGTTGGACCTCGGCTCTCCTCTCTATGCAGCTGGCCTGGTGAAATGGAAGAGGGAGCTAAGACATTTGAAGTACCTGGTGATAATGCTAATTATCTGCTGAGGTGACCCAAAAGGTGCTGATTCCCAGCCAAAGCACAACCCAGGTTTAAACCCACCTTCAGCTGTGCATGCTCAGTAAAGGATCTTGGGCCAGGCCATCTTTCTCAGCATAGCCTACCCTACAGGATTGTTCTGGTAGGAAAAATGAAACAGTGTTCTGTCTAATGAATAAAGAGTGAATAAAGGGTGCAGCGAAGAGCAACAAAGATGATCAGTAGACTGGAGGCTAAAACATACAAAGAACAGTAACTGGGATTGGGTATGTCTAGTTTAATGAAAAGAAGGACTAGGGGTGACATGATAGCAGTGTTCTGATATCTCAGGGGCTGCCACAAAGAAGAGGGAGCCAAGCTATTCTCCAAAGCACCTGAGGGTAGGACTAGAAGCAATGGGTGGAAACTAATCAAGGAGAGAAGCAACCCAGAAGTAAGGAGAAACTTGCTAACAATTAGAACAATTACAGTGGAACAGCTTGTCTCCAGAAGTTGTGAATTCTCCAACACTGGAAGATATTAAGAAGAGTTTGGACAACCATTTGTCTGACATGATATAGGCTTTCCTGCCTGAGCAGGGGGTTGGACTAGAAGACCTCCAAGGTCCCTTCCAAGCCCAAAACCAAACAAATAAATTGGACAATAGAGAGAAACTCCAAAGAAAATATTTTGATGTGTTTTTCTTCCGTTGTTCAAGCTTACTTTTTTTACCTTCCAGCCCACTCTGGAGTTCTAATCTAATTCTCTCCCTTTATCTTCTCAGGCTGAACTCTGCCTGAATGCATGCTGCAAATATGAGTCCTTCATTTCTTCCCGTTTGGTCTCCTCACCCACGGCCATAAATTATTGTGCTTGCCTATTTTTTAAAATAGATCATTTCCTGTTTGGCTTCTCCAAAGGTTATGCGTTACAGTTAAGTCTAAGAGTAAATCATGGGTTAGTGATTAACTCAAGGAGGATTTCTTCCTCCCAGGAGAAATCTTCTCTATAATATTCAGTTTCAGTTAATATTTTTATTAGGGTGGGCTGATGATAAGGCAGCAATGAATTTCAGGAAATGGCTTTGGGGCAAATATTTAGAGGTGCATCATAGAGATCAGTGGCTTTTTCTTCAGTATCCTTCCACCATTCATTCATCTTTGCATGCTTCTCACCAGCTGATGGGTGAAAGCCACAAGGTAGACCAGACTATGAAATTCATGCCATATAGATCAGATTTGCTTCAGTAGACTATAGGCAGGGGTGGATGCTGGGGGTTCTCAGGGGTTTGAGAGAGCCTCTAGCTAAGATTCTGTGCAGTTCCCACCCCTCCCAGGTGGCCCTTCCCACCCCATCAACAAAGTCCCTTCACATCAGTGGTGAAATCCAATTTTTTTTACTACCAGTTGTGTGGGCGTGGCTTGGTGGCCATGGTGTTGCTTGGTGGGTGTGGCAGGGGAAGGATACTGCAAAATCCCCATTGCCTCTCCACTCCTGGGGGAAGGATATTGCTAAATCTCCATCCCACCCCACTCTGGGGCCAGCCAGAGGTGGCGTTTGCCAGTTCTCTGAACTGCTCAAAATTTCCACTGCCAGTTCTCCAGAACTTGTCAGAACCTGCTGGATTTCACCCCTGCTTCACACCCTAAAGAGATCTAAGTCCAGCCACATTGAATATATACACACACACACACACACACACACACACACACACATATATACACATACATACATACATACATACATACATACATACATACATACATACATATTCTCCTGGATAACTGATTTTCCTGCGCTTGAAACTTTTGAAGTCCCAATTGGCCTTCTATTCTCCACCACCCTTCCCTTGGGGCTACATGTCATTTCTTACATTGTATTCGTTGGGGGCTGGCCCGGTCTTTTTGGCAATCTTCCTGGCAAATGGTGGATGAAACATGCTAGAGTATCCCAAGCTGAAGTCTTTCTTGGCATGGACAGTAGGTGAGATGTCATAGGCATTTGAAGCAGGATAGTTGGGAATTCTCTGGTGAGCAATCCGGACATCCTGCAAAGGTTGTAACGAAGAGAAGCTGAATAATTTTTAGATATACCATTGGGTCAGGTTTATCACTGTCCCTACCCCAAAAAAGTTCATTTATGGAGTCCTTGATGCACTCTTGAGCTTGGCTGTTTGCTTGGAAACGTTCCTTACCCAACCAATGATGTTATCTAGTCAGGTAATGAAACGTGTGCAACAGTGGTGGGTTTCAATTTTTTTTACTATCGGTTCTGTGGGTGTGGCTTGGTGGGTGTGGCAGGGGAAGGATACTGCAAAATTTCAATTCCCTCCCCAATCCAGGGGAAGGTTATTGCAAAATCCCCATTTCCTCCCAATCAGCTGGGATGTCAGGTTTCGATGCTATCTCAAAATAAATGAATTTCCAGACTGCCGATCTTTAAGGAAATTTTCTCTTTATTTAAGCACAGTGATCTGATCCTGGCTCTTTCGCAGTCAGTACTGACCTTTGCCCCCCCAATCCCTCCCTTTCCGATCCCCAATTCTCTGCTTCTCATTGGCTATCTTCCAAGTCACTTTCCTGATCTCTACTTCGTCAGATCACAGGAATGTCTCCCTCCTCTCCCATCTCCGAGGAGACAGAATCTTCAAAGGGATTTAGTAGGCAAAAGTTCAAGCTTCTCCCCTCTTTATATATGTCAGTACTGGGACGCTGACATGGGACTTGGGAGGCAGAGAATAGATGGGGGCGGGGCCAGTCAGAATTTTTATTACCGGTTCTCCGAACTACTCAAAATTTCTGCTACCGGTTCTCCAGAACTGGTCAGAACCTGTTGAAACCCACCTCTGGTCTGCAATGAAAGAACCAAATTCAGAGAGCATCATGGACTCTCTTCTATAAGACTATGCATCTCCGCCAGACAGAGAAGTGATTCGGAAAATTTTAGAATGTGCTGAAATGGATAGGTTAACTTTTAAAATTAAAGATAAAGAAGACTCAGAATATTACCGAATATGGAACAGTTTTTATGAGTGGCTAGAGAAAATGGGTAGGAATTAGAGGAAAAAAGACTAGGAATGTCTGTATTAAAATAGAGATGGTTTTCAACTATAAGTATGATGATCTACAAAATGTAAATAGGTCAAGATATAAGAAAACCCAGTTTAAACTATTTGGTCATAAAAGGTAAAGGTTCCCCTTGCACATATGTGCTAGTCGTTCCTGACTCTAGGGAGTGATGCTCATCTCCGTTTCAAAGATGAAGAGCCAGCACTGTCCGAAAACGTCTCCGTGGTCATGTGGCCGGCATGACTAAACACTAAAGGCGCACGGAATGCTGTTACCTTCCCACCAAAGGTGGTCCTTATTTTTCTACTTGCATTTTTTACGTGCTTTCGAACTGCTAGGTTCGAACTGTTAGGAAGAAGCTCACCCCATTACACAGCACTAGGGATTCGAACAGCTGAACTGCCGACCTTTCGATCGACAAGCTCAGCGTCTTAGCCACTGAGCCACCACGTCATACTATTACAATTATACCTAATACAAGTGTTATCATATTATTGTTACTGTTACTAATTACTGTTATGAGTTCATGTGAATATTTTTTTTTATTCTGGTCATTGTTTGTGTAACTGACACACCCTGCATCCATACACTGTATTCAAAAATGCTTATTCATCATATATATATATATATATACACACACAAAAAACAACCCTATGTATCTCTGATTTTTCTACATTGCCAGTTAAATCTAAGACAGGGGAAGGCAATCTTTTCACGACAGTGCTGCGTTCTATGTATCTTATTAAGAATTTCAGGAAATGTAGTGCCAAAAGGTCCAGAAAAAGGTTATCTCCAGAAAAGCTAAGGGCAAAATTTTGTGTTCATTTTCATGGGAGGGTTGTGAGAGTATCATATTTCCTTTTGATTCCCCACCCACATTTTTATGATGAGATTGCCATCTGAACAAGAATTTTCATCCCAATGAGAACCCTCTTAAACTCCTCCCTGGAGTGGTAACATCACTGCAAGTTGATTTATGGCATCATTTTCACATGGCAACTCTTCTTTCTTGGACAGGGCTCGGGGTGATGACAGCTGGTATTTATTTGCCACTCCAGTGACAGTTTGGACATATTGTCTCCGTGATGACGTAAATATAAGCTCGCATCACATTAGTCAGGATTAAAATGTATCCTGTGATTAAAATCTTCTCAGAATTAAACAAACTGGTATACCGAGTTGGTTAAGAACATGAACGCCAAGACATTTAAGCCAGACATGAGTCTGGCTTAAATGTCAGCTCAGATATATTACAGCAGGGGTGTCAAACTCGATTTCATTGAGGGCTGCATCAGGGTTGTGTTTGACCTTGGGGGCTGGGTGGGCGTGGTCAGGGTAGATGTGGCCAGCTCAATGTCACTCATGTCGGTGGAGCCTGTGGCGGGCCGAGCACTCTGCCAGAAAAAACGGAGCTTGGGAGGGCCACATGGCTGACTTCCCCAAACTTGTAAACCACCCTGAATCACTCAGACAGTGACATGGGTGGTGTATAAAATTAGTTAATAAATAGCCATAGCACTTAGACTTACCGTATTTTTCGGAGTATAAGACGGACCATTTTCCCCAAAAAAGAGGGTGAAAATCTGGGTGCATCTTATACTCCAAATGTAGCCCTGCCCAGCTTCTCAAACGGAGGTTTCCAAGGCTGAAAAAAGCATCAGAAACGAAGCTTCATTAAAAAAAGCCTCCAAACAGAGCTTCAGAAAAAAAGCCTCAGAAACAGAGCTTCAGAGGCTTTTTTTCTGAAGCTCTGTTTCAGAGGCTTTCAGAGGTTGAAAAAAAAGTTTTTTCTGAAACAGAGTTTCAGAAGTTTCAGAGGCTGAAAAAACTTCCCCAAATATTAAGGTGTGTCTTATACTCCGGTGCGTCTTATACTCCAAAAAATACGGTATATACTGCTTTATAGTGCTTTACAGCCCTTTCTAAGCGGTTTACAGAGTCAACAATCTGGGTCCTCATTTTACCGACTTCGGAAGGATGGAAGGCTGAATCAACCTTAACCCTGGTGAGATTTGAACTGCCATATTGCAGGCAGCCGGCAGGCAGCAGAAATAGCCTGCAGTACTGCACTCTAACCACTGCGCCACTGTGGCATATGCAGTACATACTTTTCAAATAATTACTTGCAAAACTGAAGAATCCATATTTTAGTTTTCTATGATGTGCAAATCCAGTTTTGGACAAGCAAGGATACATCTTTTGAAGTTAAGGTTACGATCAGGGTTAGAAAAAGTTGATTCCGCTACATTTTAAATACATCTCTTTTGTAGGTTACTTTTAATGATCAAAGCCAAGCTGAAATAGAGCAATCTCTGCCAGCAGGTGAAGGCACTTTTTATCTCTCACAGGGAGTTAATACAATGCTTTTAAACAGCAGGAAAACAAAACTGTGAGCTAGAAAGTGTGATAGTATGACCTTATTTCTGTCACTTTTTCCTCAGCACATAAATACGATTTCCATAAACTATTTTCCTTACCAAGGAAGGGAAAAAACAGGTTCCTTTCCGAGACTGGGAGACGTTGTTGAGGAACATAGATTGATGGATGATATTATAAAGTCCGGGCCCTGGATTTTCATTCTGGAAAAAACACAAGAATCATTTGGAAGATGTCACAATGACCTGCCTGCCAATACTCACGAAATGACCTTGATCAATAAAATAGCTATTAACAGAAGGAAAATGGAGGGGTTCCCAGTATGTGGTAATATATTTTGTTCCTTAATAATTAGATTTCTTGAAATTGTCTTGCATGCTGTAAAGCAAGGGTTCCTTATATGTGCTCCAACATCCACTGGTGGGTTGCTACCGGTTCGTCCCGGATCGTGCAAACTGGTAGCGGTAGCAGCGGGAGGCTCCACCCACCAGACCGGACGTCTCTGTGCACGCACAGAAGCTTCTGTGCATATGCAGAAGTGTTGTACACACGCAAGCACGGGCGTGCCCACAAGTGAACCAGTAGCGACAGGATTTGAATCCCACTACTTAACAGGAATCCTCAAACTATGGCCCGCGGGCTGGATACGGCCCACTGAAGCCATTAATCCAGCCTGTGCGGGACTACAGGGCTGCTCTGCCCACATCACTCCACTTACCCGATGGCCCCCACCTGCCTTCTGGAGACCGAGGATGCCAAAAATGGGACGCGCGGAGGCCCCTGGAGGGCAAAAACAGGCCCATTTTTTGCCTCTCCAGCTGAGAGAGAAAATGAGGGGGGAGGAGAGAGACATACAAACACACAAACAGAAGTCCCTCATACCGCCCCTCCAAGGCAGCCACATCCGTTCATTAACCTGCTTTCCACCCCCAGGAGCCTAACGAATTAAAGTTTAATTTGTGTGTATTGTTTAATGGACTGCTAAATTGGCCACATCCACCCAGTCACATGACCACCTAGTCACACCCACCTAGTCACATGACCACCTAGCCACATCTACCAAGTTACATGACCCCCTAGCCATGCCCACCCAGCAGGTCCAGCCCCCCAACAGTCTGAGGGACCGTGAATTGGTCCCCTGTTTAAAAAGTTTGAGGATCTCTGTTTTACAAGGTCAAAATCTTGGAGCATCGCCGAATCTCAAAATTTGAGAGTTTTGTCCTTCTCTCTTCAAAACTCACTAGATTTCACCTGGGAAAACCAAACTCTTACTGAGATGTAGTGATCTTGTAAGATTTTGGCCATTATAATTTTTTAAAAAAAACTTTTTACAATAATTTCTTTTTGGGATCCCATCTATGCAATCTGCTCTCAGATGCCATATTGCCAGCAATGAGCTGATCTGCAGATTAAAAAATAGGCTATTTTTCAGTGGTGAAATCCAAATTTTTTTACTACTGGTTCTGTGGGCGTGGCTTGGTGGGCGTGGTGTGGCTTGGTGGGCGTAGCAGGGGAAGGATACTGTAAAATCTCCATTCCCACCCATTCCAGGGGAAGGATACTGCAAAATCCCCATTCCCCCCCCCCACTCCTGGGGGAAGGATATTGCAAAATCTCCATTCCCACCCCACTCTGGGGCCAGCCAGAGGTGGTATTTGCCAGTTCTCCAAACTACTCAAAATTTCCACTACCGGTTCTCCAGAACCTGTCAGAACCTGCTGGATTTCACCCCTGCTATTCTTAATGACAGTACAATTGATGACCTTATGTCAAAACATACTTTTTTTTTTTGCTCCTCTGTAAAAAAAAAAAAAAAGAACCAGGGCCAGTTTTGCTACTTAAGCACATTGCTGGTAAACAAAGATTCTTTGTGTTTATTCTAAAATAGGGCAGTTTATTAAATTGACCAAAAAAAATTGACAAAAAAAGAACCCACTGCTCTACTTGGGAATAGGGGTGGGCTTAGCAAGGGGTTCTCTGCCCAGTTGCTGGGTGGGCGTGGCCATGGTGGGCGTGGCCTAGTCAGCCTCCTGCACCACAATAAGGGGGCCATTTTTGCCCTCCCTGGGCTCCGGAGGCTTTCCCCGAGCCTCCGGGAAGGCAAAAACAGCCTCCCCAGGCTCCAGAGGCCCTCTTGAGGCCAGAAACAGGCCTGTTTCCAGCTTTCCTGAACTTCCGGTAGGCCCATTTTTCACCCTCTCTGAGCCTCCATGCGCACCCTGCACTTACCTGCATCCAAAACGGGCCGCGTAGGGACTCCTGGGAGGGAAGGGGTGGGCGGGGCCAGCCAGAATTGGGATTTTGGGGTTCTCCGAACTGCACAGAATCTTAGCTAGAGGTTCTCCTGAACCCCTGCAAACTCTCAGAAGCCCCCCCACCCCGTGCTTGGGAACCATTGTGCCCTTGGTGCCAAAATAAGGGCATGGGCCTTCCCCCGTGGAGGGTTTACCTGACATGAGCTTGACCTCATGGGTGGAGACACACAATGGCATGAAAATGTGAACAACTATTCCATTTTCATAAGCCACTCAATCTCTTGTGGCTTGTGTTTTCATTTCTGGTCAATTGTCCTTGTGCTCTAAGCAGGTTCTTCTTTGGTTGTTTCAAAATCAGAATAATCTCATTTTAATGGAGCATATCTCAAATTACACGGCAAAGCAGGCCTCAAGCAGAAGATTAGGTTTCTCCAGTGTCTGCGCAAGGGCCTAGAGAGACTCAAGGAGCGCAAAATCCATTGCATGCCTAATCCCACCTAGACATCTGATTTGCCCTGAATTGTTTAAGCGTGTGGGCAGAATGTATTATTTTAAGGAGCCACACCTCTCCTGACTCAATTTCCATCCAGAACGACATTTCTTTTATTCCTCAAAGAGTGCTGGGTGGGTTTGCTATTTATAGAAAGAAAGAAAGAAAGCAAAGCAGCAAAATTCAGGTTGTCCTGAACAACACTTTCGGTCTTCTGCAGAGAGTTTCATCCAAAAATGGCCTGAAAGATTTTGCAAAAATGTCACACAGTCAAGCAAAACAGTGAAACTGGCCAAGGTGGCATCTAGATCAGGGGTGTCCAACCTTGGCAACTTTAAGCCTGGCGGACTTCAACTCCCAGAATTCCCCAGCCAGCAAAGCTGGCAAAGCAAAGCTGGCTGGGTGAATTCTGGGAGTTGAAGTCCGCCAGGCTTAAAGTTGCCAAGGTTGGACACTCCTGATCTAGAGAATTCAGACCTGGTTCACAGCCTGCACCAAACTGTGGTAGGTTCAATCGTGGTTTGTCGAACAACCACAACTCAGAAAGCCACAGATCATGGTCTAGAACAGGAGTTCCCAACTTGGAGTACAAGATAGTATTTTGGAAGGAGCAACAAAGAGTGGCTTGTGTGCCTAAGTGATGAGTCACAAGTCACAATGACTACTGTAGAGGGTGCGAGCATTGATTGAACCTTTTCTAGGGCTGTGGCGCATAGAAAAGGTTGGGAACCATGATTTTTGGATCTGAGCAGGGGTCTGAGCAGGGGTGGGCTTCACAAATTTTAGCAAGGGGTTCTCTGCCTGGTTGCTGGGTGGACATGGACGTGGACGTGGTGGGCATGGCCTAGTCGGCCTCCAGCACCACGGCAGGGGCAGTGGTGGGATTCAGCCAGTTCGCACTACTTCGGGAGAACCGGTTAACTTTCTGAGCAGTTTGGTGAACTGGTTGTTGGAAGAAATCATTAGGGCAGAGAACTGGTTGTTAAATTATTTGAATCCCACCCCTGGGCATGGGGGAGGCGTTTTTGCCCTCCCCAGGCTCTGGAGTCTTTTGTCGAGCCTCCGGGAGGGCCAAAACGGTCTCACCAGGTTCCAGAGGCCGTCTGGAGGCTGGAAACGGGCTCGTTTCCGGCCTTCCTGAACTTCCGGTAGGCCCATTCCCCCCCCTCAATCTCCTGAGCCTCCGTGCGCACCCTGCACTTACCTGCATCCAAAACGGGCTGTGTGGGGACTCCTGGGAGGGGTGAGGTGGGTGGGGCCAGCCAGGAGTGGGATTTGGGGGTTCTCTGAACTGCACAGAATCTTAGCTAGAGGTTCTCCCAGACCCCTGCGAACCCCCAGCAACCCACCCCTGCATCTGCATCATATTGTGGCAATGTTTGATCATATTGTAAAATGCATCATATTGTGGCAATGTTTGATGAGTCTGGGCTATGATTCAATTCAACTTTGTGGAGAGAGACAGGAGACCAACAGATCACCAGAAAGAAAGCCTCTTCTGATCCCCAATTTTCCCAAGGTTTTAAGAATAGGAAACGGAGGGCGAGATCTCAGAAAGCCATACTTTTTTGCTGATGAATTTTGCTGTTGCAGTCTTTCCAGATTCAGGACCACACACTGCCAATCCCTAACTTGGCACAATGCATGGGTCTCGCCGGGGCAGTTTGGAATGTCAAAAAAAGTCCAGTGGTTTTCTAATGATCCCTCCAGTGGTGGGATTCAAAATTTTTTACTACCGGTTCTGTGGGTATGGCTTGGTGGGCATGGCTTGGGCGTGGCAGGGGAAGATTACTGCAAAATCCCCATTTCCTCCCAATCAGCTGGGACTCGGGAGGCAGAGAATAGATGGGGGCGGGGCCAGTTAGAGATGGCATTTACCGGTTCTCCGAACTACTCAAAATTTCCGCTACCGGTTCTCCAGAATACCACCTCTGGATCCCTCCCTCCCTGCCTCCGAGTCCCCCAAAATGTTAGATGTCCACCTGCAGTTTCTGCCTCTATGCTGTCCCTATGCTGTTCAAGGGGAGATGCATATTATGGTTATATGTTATAGGAGCCTATGTTATATCCTATGTTATAGGAGCCTGAGTGGCGTAGGAGGCTAATGCCTCCTACTAAGGCAGCATTTAACATCCAGCTGCCTGCAATTACTGCGAGTTCAATTCTCACCAGGCTCAAGGTCGACTCAGCCTTCCATCCTTTCTAAGGTAGGTAAAATGAGGACCCAGTTTGTGGGGGCAATAAACTGACTTTGTATAAAATATACAAAAGTATGAAGGCTATTGCTTAACGCACTGTAAGTCGCCCTGAGTCTCCGGAGAAGGAATTAATTATTTATATTATTTATAAAAATAAATAAATAGATAAATAAATAGATAAATAAATAAATAAATAAATAAATAAATAAATAAATAAATAAATAAAATGGTTAAAAATAAATAAATCAAGAGGGCGCCCC